CTTTGCGACAAGTGCTCAGAGCCTTCGCCCCTTTTTCCTCAAGGCCTCCCTCGAATTTCCCCGCATATCCACACATTTTCCCACAATCGTGTGCAGATGACAGTAACAAGTCGGAACAAAAAGCGGCGGCGCTCTTAACTTTATTAAGATATCACAAACATACGCAAGACGGGCGGGCCACGCCCACTTTCCTCAGCAGGCAACAGCTGAATTTTCATTTAATTTCTAGAAATGACAAGAGAAAGGGTTTCACTTAATTGAATCTCAACGCCATTAAAAAAGAATTATGTCAGTGTGTGAGCGTGGGGAGGAAGTCATGTTTAGGTACTTATCACTTTGGTGAAAAAAGCGAGCGAATCATGAAGTTTCATTATCATTGGTGTAATGATGATGACGCTAATGGTGGCTGCAGCAGCCTTGGCATTTGCTCCGCCATTTCCCCTTCCCGCCCTTCCTTGCAATTACCGCCAAGAAAAGCGGAAAAGTGTGGTTTTGCTGGAGGAAAGCTCGCAGCGGCAGCTGGGGAAAAACTTGGGTGCAGCAAAAAGATTTCCAGGAATCACACTCCATGAAACCGAGTTTAATTTCGTAATGAAACTGGCTGAAGTGTGCGGTGATTGATTATCAGGGTAATTACTTTCTTGGCCTCTACCTATTTATTTTTGCGGAGAGTTACTTAAAGGATTGTTCGAAGAGAGCTTTGTGTTATCCATTAGCTAACTGAAGTACATACAGTTTTTCTTTGCCCTAAAAGTGTGTTTTACATTCTATACTATCTGAAACCTTAAGGGGCTCTTGAACAATTAGCTTAAATGCGCCTTTTAGCATAATTAAAGTTTTGTTTCACTTGCATCTGCCACTCTCAGCCGAAGACCAAGTTTGCTCTCTTTGGCATTATATTTTCTGTATTTTATTTGTTTTGCCTGTGGCATTCGCAGTCTGCCGTGTCCGTTGCTGTGTCATTAGAGGTGAACCACATCGCACATCGGGGCATCGGGGCACAGCCGCAATAGCAATTGCATTTAAGCATTTTGCCACACATTCCCGGTAATGTTGTGTGTTTAAGTGCAGTTCTGCGTGAACAATTACCAAGCCGGGACAAAACAGGATGGCAGAGTGGGCGGATGCCACAGTGGGCGGCAGAGATGAGCTCCTGGCGTGGGGGGAAAGTCAAGAGGCAATTAGTTTCAAGTTGTTGCCGCAGACAATTCTTGGCTGGCCATTTAGCATAAATGTGCTGGCACTTAGGCCAAAACGAGCGACCGCCTCCAAAGTAGCCAAAAACGGGGAGCCGAGATGAACACGACCCACAATTAATCTTGCACACTTTTCTCCAGCACTTCCATGCTAATGAGCTCAGTTTCGGGCGGTGAAGACAAATCGCGTTGCGTATACGCCGCGTTGCGCAGCAAATCGAAGCTGAGTCCCTAGGCGTGAGCAATTGGCACTCCATCTCCCGGGCAAATGCAATCCACTCGAAGTACATAAATAAATAAGCCAGCGGGCTTCGGATCCGAGATCCGAGCAGGCTCCAAGAGTCTGACAGCCTGGAAGGAGACTCCATGCGAAGCGGAGAGGCATATGGAATAATTAGCAGTGAGAAAAAATACGGAACCTTTTACCTATTGCTAAAGTTCTCCCATGTGGAAGATACATTTCCAAGCCCATGCACATGATTTTTGGTTTGAATTCATCGATTATTTCAAGAAGTCTTTAATTTATTTACACATATTTTCTCTCACTGTAAATCTGTTTACCCGTCTTGACCCCCTTTGCCGCTCCAATTGTCAAATTGAAAGGGAAAATTTGTGGCGCGCTGCCGTTTTCTTGGCAGCTCTGCCTTGACAAACACGGCTCGGCTGAAAGAAAAGAAATGAAAAGAAAAGGGGGGCAGCCCAGAAGCCAGAAGTTTTGACTGCTCAGGCAGCTTTTCACGATTTCCCCGCATTTCTCAGCCGCCATCTCGCCTTAAATCCAATTGTGTTGTCGTCTGAGCGCCGGGTAACGCCCACGCCAGAATCTTGCACCTGCAGAATTCAGAACTCAGAATGCAGAACTCAGAATGCAGAAAGCAGCAAGCAGAATGCACTTTGCGGCCCTTGTCAGCAGAGCGGCGACTTTTGAACTCCCACGCTCCGGAGAAGGGAGAAAGTGGGCGGCGAAATGCGGGGGAGTAGGCAGTGTGGCATTGCATGTGTGCCAAAAACTACGGAGCAATAATACCCGTAGCTGCCTGCCACTGCCATTGATTTTTATCGCCTCGGGGAGCTGCACAGAACAGAGCTCAACTGGCGACGCCGACAAGAAGTTGATTTGCCTGACTTATATCCGTTCAGAATTGTAATAAAGCACTGGCAATACTCTCACTTGGGATAGTGAACACAGAATCAGTCATAAAAGGATGACTGAGAACTGTCACTTAATACGAGTACAAGCACTCGAAAATATATATTTCAAAATGAAGTCAAACCTGAGTGCTTCCAACCCGAATCTTGATTCGACAACCTACTTTGGGTAGCTTTCAACTGGCCAAACAATTTCCTTCCCAAGGCGGAATTCGCTCGCAAATCAACTCGACTCGCTGCTTTATTTATGCAAAAGAGTATCGCTGGCAAAAACAAATCCGTTTTTGTAAATCATCAAAAGCCCACTCAGCCAGGATTCAATGGGCTGATGCACTTTGCTGATGGGACGGCAATGGGCCTCCTCCTTGGACCTTCGGTCCCCGTGGCACTTACACCACTTTCCCCACTTTCCCCACTTTCCGGACGTACGAGTATATCGCGTAGTTCTCGGGCCTGTCGCTGTTTGTCATATGCGATTCGGCTGCTTGCCAAATATTGATTATGTGCCCTCAAACATGAATGGAAGCGCGCTTCGCTGATTCCGCTCAAGTGGAGGCCACAATTCGGGGTGCTGGGTGCAGTTCGGAGGTCTAGAGTATAGAAGAAGGGCAAGATAAGCCCCGACTTCGGCGTTTGCACGTCATCAGGCCGAAAAAGCACATCCGGTATAACTAATGTGCAGGCATAAAAACTATGGTCGCAGAAAAAGGGGGAAAGGGGCACCGCGGTGGCCTCAAATCCAGTTAACAGCCTAAATGGGCCAAAAAAGCGATGCCGCACTCGCAAAACTCAAATAAAAGCCCAACTTGGTCGCCTAATGGGCCAGAACATTAACAAATGCTGTCGGAATATGGGCCAACTTTCTTTCTCTCATTTTAATCAATGCTTGTCGGAATACCCTGTGCTCAATGAGTTGACAAATCATTTAAATCCACAACAAACGTATGAATTTGAAGCCACAATTTACTCTGGTGTTCTGTGGAATTTTCATTCATCTCCCCTCTTTCTAGTGCTGTGCTGAATAATTTGGAACTGCCATAAAAATGTCAGACTGCAACGCTCTGGTATTTATTTCGACAGCCAGCACAATTCATAGCTTTTAACTGGCAACTGTGCAAAGATAAATAAGTACAAACGCGCAGACCGAAGACCAGATTTATGGACAACCTTCAGGACCAACTTTTGGCTGAATGGCAGCTAAAGATATTCGCCCAGGATAGAAAACTGCATTATAACAAAGCCAAACAAATGCGAAGTGTGCGGAAATAGCTATTTGAGTTCTCAAGCGCTTACTTGGACTGTTGGTTTATCAAGAATCTCCTTTCTTACGTTTCATTTTAAAGGCAGCAGAAAAAGTACCGGAAACTTAATAAATATAACGTGAACTGGGGTCAAAATATTGATCCTCGAAAAATGGAAAACTTTTAATGCAATTTTTAACGTTTAGAGGTATCTCACTTTTGAATCGGACTAAAATTGACACAGTGGAAGTCACATTTTGGATCACTATTCTGAAAACCATTGAAAACTGGGAAAAATCTGACATGAACAGGGGTCAAAATTTCGACCATCGGAGAATGGAAAACCTTTAATGCAGTTGTTTTATAAATGCGACTACAAGCTTTTAGAGGTATGCCACTTTAGAATCGGAATAAAATTGACAAAGTTAAAACTATCGAAAACATGGACACGGGTAAAAAATTCGACCATCTCTGATTTGAAAAATTTAAAAGCAGTTTGTTTACGAATTCCTTCACAAATGCCACTTTGAAATTCGACTAAAATTAACAAAGATATGGGCTGTGGAAGTCTAGTTTTGTGAAAACCATTGAAAACGCAACTTAAAGAGTTTTTCTTGGTAACTGGCTTTTCCGCTCCCTCACTCACGACATTCCCGTCAATTTCTTGGGAAACCTTTCACTTTCGTCGAAAGTGCTCCGAATGTGGACCACGCCTTCCGAACTGGGAACCGAAATTGGCAAACCATTAAGAAGCGTGCACCGTTGTTGTTTACACATCTAAAGCAATTTTATCACCTGCGAACAATGTTTGGACTAAGTATACTTTATGGCCCAGCCTCGCCCAGCCGAATTTCCCCCATAAATTCCAGAAACTCTTCCGCTTTCCCTGCCTCAGGTGGAGAAGGGGGAAAATGGCAAGGAGGATAGCAACGCCTTATCACAATATTTGTGGCACATCGCTTGATTATTGGGTTGTCTGTCAACTAGCATGAGTGTTATACTATTTTTATTCCTTATCTAGGTTGGGATGGGTGGATCCCGCATAGGTGCCATTAAGGCCGTTTGACAACTTGGGAAATGTGTTTGCGCAGCTCGGGTAATTGTGGCCGATAAAAACCCCTGTTCAAATACGAAAAGGGCTTCATGAGAACGTGGAAAACCTGACTAAGTAGCATGTCGAATTGCAAACGCTAATTTACTCGTAAAGTTGCCAAAAGTGCGGCACGAGCCGCAGTATCGATTGAATTAGCATAATTCCTAAAAAAAAATATTCAGGAAATAGTGTAGTGGCATTTCATAATTTGTATAAATTAACTTATGCAAAAGGCAGTGCAAAAAAACTTCAACATAACCAGATTTGCTTCACCACTGGGTTTCACTTTAATTGTATTATAAGGAACAGAAATCCACTTACCAACTAAAGAGTATTGAGTTCACTTGCGTCTTGTTTGGGTTTGGATTAAGTGTTTTGTTTAAGCGTTGATTAAGTTTTTGATTTGCGGTTACTTGTTACAGCATAGGAATATAATTATTTCACATTTTTAAATTGTATTGGGGACCTTCATCTGTATGGCTTTGGGAAAATATTTGTCACAGACACACACGCGCTGGAAAACAAAGAAAACTTATCTTACTGCACACTTGAATAGAAACTTTTTGAATTTGAAAGGAAAGCTTATTTTGCTCGTCGCGTTAGCATTATGGAAATGCCAGTCCTAGTGCGGATTTTCTTCTTTTCCGCCAGCCTATCTGTCTGCCTCTCGGGCCTTTTCCTTTCCCGACTGTATTTTCTTTCGTACGTATATCGGGGGAACACGCCTTGCTTCGCCAAGCGAAAACACTTTTCCTGCGGCCCCTGCACTCACAATTCAAATGAACTTCAATTCAGTATTATACCCTCTGTTGTTTGTTTCTCGTTATTTGTTCTTGTTTTTTGTTCCATTGTTTCGATTTTATTACACATTTGGCCTGTGGAAAATGCGGTGTAAAAGTGTGTGTACGGTGTGGGGGAGGGGTGGGGTTCAGTTTGGTTTGGTTGGGAGGGCCTCCGACTTTCCGCTGCTCACGCACACAGTTTTTCCAAGCACAGCACGCTCCAAAGTCTAGCCACGAACTGAAAGCGTCGGGGAAACTCCAAACTCGAGCAGCAGGAAAGCGGAAAACCGAGAAGCTTCCAATGTCAATGCGAAGCCAATCCTTTGTACGAGGAATGTGTTATTTTGGAAGGCCCAAACCTCCTGGAAAAGCCTCTCCGCTCGCTCTCTCGGAAAACTCGCTCTCTCTCACGCTCTCTCTGCTGGGACTTTCCTCTCTCCCGCTGCTTTGTTTTCCCTGTTTTCCCTGCTGCTTCACTGCTGTGCGTGCGTTTTGACAACTACATTCCGCCCCGAAAAAATGGGTTTTGAAGTTTCAAAGTAGATTTCCACTTGCAAAGTTTAATTAATATGAATGCCTCGGATATATAGCCCACATACTATATGACTATATGCCATCGCCTCGCTCTCTGTTTTCCTTTTCTTGGCTTTTCGTTCTGGCTGTTTGCTTGGCTGTTCTGGCTGAATTTATTGGCCGTGCGGGCGTGCTTTTCCGTTAAAAATAGCCGCGTAGCCTCGCGATGCGTCGCCAGCCCCAGCGACAGCATCAAGTTCAGATGGGTTCCATTTTTCGGGGGACCATCCATCTATCTTCATGGAGAGCGAGGCAACTTTTGACCTTAGTCAAGCGAAAAGTGCGCCCACCTGTCTCCGTCGCTGGCTGTGGCTGTATATGCCTTTTGAGCGCCTAATTGGCCAAGTTGCGTTGTGGCTGCCAAATAATTCAGGCAACTGCAACTACTCGGCTAATTACGGCCCATGAATGAATAATCAAGGGGAGGCTCTAACCCCCAAGAAGACCTCCCCCCCCTTCCTCTTCCCCGGGAAAACCCCCTAGGAAGCCCGAATCGCTGACACATGAATTTATGATTTCTTCGGCGGTGTTGTTATTGCCTTTATGATTATTGCGACGCCGCGTCTGTTGTCTGGCTTTCCCGACTTTTCCCGCCTGACGCCAACTAGCAACCCCCGTTTAACCATTGTCAATCATATGACCCCGTTTTCGGGGCTTCGACGGTCTGGTTTTGGGCTTCCGTTCGCCAATTTGTATCGCCACCCAGTTGTTTATCTGATTGCTGCGATACAACTCCTCGAACCACTGCTGCCGTAGCAATATTAATGTCCTGTGTCGCCGGAGAGATACAAACTCTAGAGCAACTCCCCATCCCCTCCACTTCTGGTGGCAAGAAAAATCAATTGATGGACTCTGATGGCCACGTTTTCTGCACTTTTAAACGCGTCACTAGAATTTAGACTTCAGATTATACGTTTCGGTATGTGTGCTTTCTTTGCTTTCTCTCGTGAAATCTCTCTTGTCACACTTGATTTATTTTCGAAATTTTAAATTTTCCTTATTGACTTCTTGGCATTTTTTCACGAATTTCCGCGCACACACACTTTTTGTTTGCCAGGCCGGGAGTTGCATTGGATTGGATTGGATTGGTAACAATTGACGGCCAGCCGCCGACTCACTGGCCAACTGACCAACTGACGAACTGGCGAACTGGCTCGCTGGCCAGCAGAACACCAGAAAACCAGAATGGCACAACGGCAGGAAAACACGACCGAAGCCGACCGAAGCGACCGACGTTAAGTATACGCCATGCGACCCACGACCGACCGGATTCTCAGGCACCCACCACACGTCCGTTCTCAGCTGTGGCCCAGCGCTTTTGAGAGCGTTCCGCCGGATTCGGTGCGGCCGGATCCGGCCAGTGCTGCCGACGGCGACGCCGTGGTGAATTTGCGGCCAGCTGATGGCCGACGAGCGCTCCTCGTTTCGAAACGCCAGCAGGGGCGGTGGGTCTTTGAGGGGCGTGAACGCAAACGGGGGTTGAAAGCCAGAACAACAGATGGTCTCCCTGCTATCTCGAGCTTTTTACTGCTTAACTATTTATTTGGGATGTAATTGTCTTTAAATGTATTTAATATATTTACCTATAATATGTAGTTTAATTTATTTAAATAAACATCCATGAGGTATTCTCATTTAAAAACCAAGCAAATGTATCAACCGTTTGATAAACCGCCTAAAAGCTTGTGGAACATTTTTAAAATAATGTAGGACAGATTTTGTGTATGACACCCATTCAAACTTATTAAGTGTTCATTATTTATGGCCATTTATTTCATGTGACAGGCGTAGACAAGAGGGAAACAGGACAGTTTATGACGCTTACAGGCAGGGCATATGGTTTTCTTTTGTGTTATCCTGTTTATTTGAAGGACATGTGGTGAAAAGTTCTTGCCTCCCTTTTGTCTTTCGCCCTCCATTGGTTTTCTTTAGGTTCCTTGACCAGTCATGAATATAAATTATGCTCAAAATGACAGGAGGAGACTGTTATGGCTAAACAATCATAAAGAACACCCGGCGCAAATTGTTTTCAGATTATTAAAGAAGGCTAGGCGCTAAATAGAGTGTGAGTATGAATAAAGCGTTTAAGTGTACATGAAAATAACATTTTATTTTATTTGAATTTCATACCACTTTTAAAAAACAATATACACCCATGTATAATTAAGTTATAACATAATTGCCTTAACCCAATTGTGTTAATTTTCAAAGGGTGAGTAAAAAATCAGTCACCTTTTGTCAGTCAGTGAACGAAGATCACAACCAACGAAACGCACTAGCGTTTTGCGCGCGTTTTTCGAGCGTTTTCCATACGACTCTTCGAGCGTTTTCGGTTTTTTGAGGAGGCAACTCATAAAATAAACCAAACTCGAAACAGACCGGCCTAAAACAGTCATTGCGATTGCGTCACGGGCAGCGAATGGGTTAGTGGGACAAAGATAATGCGACAGAGGTACGAATTGGCCCGGAGCAACCGGCGATTTTGATGGGTTTATTGGCCAACCGACGGCATTGGGCCCAGCCTCTAATTAACCGTTTCGCAATTGCAGCTAAGCCCTAAAACGGCGGAGGTGTCGGGCGGCGGGCGGTTGGGGGAGTGGCCCTTCCACGAGTTGCTGCTCACACGTTAGCTTCAGTTATAAAATGAGTTTGGTCCCGATACCTTGGGCCCGGAGTTTGATTAATGAGCGGCTTAAGTGAATCTCAAACCGAATCTGAGCCTGCTCGGCCGGCAGACTGATGAAGTCACTAATTTGACTTAAAAACGCATTAAAAACCATTTTCGATAAGAGCTCGATCGGAGCTCCCCATATCGTGATTTCGGCGAGGGTTTTCCCGTACTTTTCTGCCCCGTGGTCTAGGTCTCGACTTTGTGAAAGTTGTGCAAAAATAAAACCGAAAAAACCAAAATTGAACGACGAAGCCAACAAGGCGACGGATAAAATTCCAAAAACGCCTCGGAAGATTTGGGAGTGCAAAGCTCTTGCTTTATGGGACATTGCCTATTGGCAATCAGCTGGAAACATAAATAACGATCAAAATTGGGAGGGTCAACTTAGAAATACTCTGTAAATCAAAAATGTAAGCTTGGGCAAGGTTTTTTCTATTTCATCTTGGATTAAAAAAACCGTATCATCATTTTTGGTATTACTCATTTTAAATATCTTTGAAAATAAAATATTGTGTGTGGTAATTCTAATTATTTAAATTTTTGAAGAGTAGTTGTTATTTCTACGAGATGTATAAACCCTTTATTAATCATATGTGAACTTCATCAGTATGGAGTGTTTGGACATAAGCAGAAAACATAAATTTATTGCACAGTTTTCGCTTTCTTCTGTCCATTAAATTAAGTAAATAAATATCTCCCCTGTAGTGTTGTACGAAACTTGGGTAGAAACCAATTTAAATATTTAATTAATAAATTTGCGATAGTAATAAAGGTATTGAACACCGATCTCCGCGAAAAAGGTATACCCCTGCTGGTATAATAACCCTAATTTCTGCTTTGGCAACACTCAAAAATTGATTTAAATACCTGCGCAGCGAGACAAAAGCGCCCAGGTTACTCCTACAATTGTGCGTGGTCTTGGCCATTAAATGCCTTTCTTGCCAACATTCAATGCCTGCGCCGGAGGCAGATCCAAGTCAACGGCAGCCGTCACAAATCTGCGACAGATAAAAGCTGTTAAATGACCTTCATTGGCCATAAAATCCAAAATCATCGCCCGAACAATGAATCGTGTGTATGGGCCAAAACCGGCGGCAGCGCCAAACAACAATTGGCGAGCAGCGAAAATTAACAATTTAAATAAATTCACTTTATTGCAGTTCGCATATTGGCGACAATGTAAAACAAACAATAAAACTTGTCAATAAATAAGGCCCGCGTCACTTTGAATGGCCGAGCCGCTGGACTTCCGGTCTTGAATCGGGCCAGAAAAAAAACCGCACACATCATATTGTATGTGGTATGTGGCCGACGACATGAATCACGGGCCAAAAAGTTCAAAGTTGAGCGGGCTAAATTGAGAGATTATCTCTGGAGATCAGAGCCGGCTATATTTTTGCTATATGGCGCTGCTCTGACCCTAGCTCTGCTTTCCTCTGCCCGGAGTTCGCGGCTCTGGGCCGCTGTTAACTCGGCTAAGACCGCTCAGTTGGCTACGAGCTGCTGCCGTGAGCATTGGCAAACGCGTGAATCGGACAAAAACGAATCCAACGAAACCCAAACGCCGAAAAACACAAATTGAAATCTCCGCGCTGCTCTTCGGTACGTGTTAAGTTTTTTAATTAGTAGAATTTCAAGTGAATTGGTGGCAAAAAGAGAAAATAATTCAAAAAGTCCACAAGCCAAGCTAAACACAAGTGTAGTGAGCAAAAGAGGTGAACAAAAACTGTGAAGCAAAAACAAACAATACTATACCGCATACTAGGTGGGTAATTAACAATGCGAATAACTTAACTGCCTCCCATAAATTAATAAGTTTAATTCATCTGTCATCGCAGATCGAGTTAGTATAACATTTTATTGTTTCTATTCGACTATATACACACTTGTAACCGAAGTGTTGGGAAACTAGCAAACACAAATTAAATCAAAGCGATCACAAAACAAAATCCACAAAAATGCAGACAACACTTTGGGCAAATAAAAACAAAAACAGGGAAAAAAACTGGCCGTAGCCTTGAAAAGTCGTGCTTAATTTCTCAGCTAAATGCAGACATAAAATATATGTTAAAAAAATTATAATGATCAACAGCTGATAGGATGGCTTACATCGAATCTATTGTCTTAGACCCTAATTGATTTCAACTTAAAAGCGGAATGAAATGTTTGCCAAAAAATCGATCCTGCATTTAGAAAAGGCTCTTAAATAATATTACCCACCTAATTACATTTCTTTCACTTAAAGATCCATATAATTAATTAACAGTGTTTTATGATCCATCATCTTTTTTGTAGCCCGCTAATATTTCAATTAGTTGCCAACACAATATCTAGACTCATCCCCTAAAAGTTCCAATCGAGTGAATAAGTGGGAATGTCTGGCCGAGACAAAGATAAAGATCCGACAATCGATCATTACTCAGGCGAGGTTTAATCAATTAAATATAGATAGATGATTTTGCGGCCAAGTCATTCAAACAAATTGAATAGAGCCCAGCGATTTTGAGCACTCAATTTCACAAATGAAGCCGAAGCCAATGGGTTATCCGCCGGAGTTGGCCGAAGATCTTTAACAATTTCATTAACTCTTGGCCCGACCACCTAATGATGTGCAAATGGCCCAAAACACACCATAAAACACACTGGCACTAAAGTTGCCAAGGGAAACAATGCCAGAGACGAACTCTTAGCCGACTTAGCCTATCCAACTTCTTTTGGCCACTCTGTGATTTATGAGGTGATCGCCTGGCGCAACTTTGCCATCGGGGAAATACCAAAAACTCGTGGGTGTAGCTGCGTGCAAGACTCCATTAGCAGATCGCAAACACCAAACAAAGCTGCGGTCCAGGCACAGAGAGAAAAAGTTAACTGAAGTACTAAAAACTGTGACAATGATTAAATGGTTAACTGTTTGAGGATTGATTATCCAGCTTCATTCAGAGTTTTCTTTTCAAACTTGAACAGAATTGATAAACATTCGTGTAATTTAGTGAAATCATTAAAAAGAAATATTTTTTTCTGTGTGCCCAGCCCGACACATTGTCATTGGAGCTTGATGGTTGAGTGATTTGTTTTCTTGGCGTGTGCAAAAGAGCCTGTGATCCCGGAAATCCTATCACACTTTGAGGCAGGTGTTCTGTACCAGTAAACATTCTTATAATTCTTGAATGACTGCTGTTTCTCCACACATCTCATGACTGGCGATTTGAGAGAATTGTTATTGGCAGTCTTGCTATAAATAATGGTGGTACACATTTTTATTGAAACGAAAGCAAAACTTGACACCAAATCCGGTTTTTAACATTGACTTGACAGCTTTTGATTTTATCACTTGTAATAATAGCAAAAAAAATATATATACAATTACAAAAATGTTTTGTTTTCATCACAACTATTTTGTCGGTTGTTGTAGCAATGGGAAAATTTCACTCTTTTTGATTTAAATTACCCTGCTAGACACGCTAATATTTCATTAACTAATATAAATGCCATGATGAGCTGTGACTAGTTTTGATTTTATTTATTTCAAGACAGTATTAGTTTCCTATCATTTAAACACACTTAACACAAAAAAAGCTTTTAAAGTATTGCTGTCATTATTCTTCACTAAAATTACTTCAAGTATTTGGCAGCAATTCGATCTTATCTTAAATAGATTGGCCAACATCCACTTCGCTCTTTATTCAAATGCCGCCACTTTAAATCGCCGCTTAGAAGCGCAAATAAATCATTAGAGTTTATAAATATTGTCATTAGCTGACAACTCGGGTTGCCAATTGAGAACGCCCCCACAATGGTTGTGGGCGTGACCAGTCCATTATCTCGGTGGCGTATACTTAATCTACGGATACTTAATCTTGTTGTCTGGAGCTTGTTCGTCACTTTCACTTTTGGCAATTTATTTTCGCTATTTACGGGAGTTGTTCGAGTTGTTTGGGTGTTGTTTGCTTTGGAGGTTGTCGGTTGTGCAGTTCGTGTTTATGTTATTGTTTTAGTTGTTGATTGTTTGACTTAACAATAAGCTGAGCCGAACTCGGCCCAACAAATGGGCACTTTGAGGCATTTCCGCTGCGGAAAAACCATCAGTTATTGTCTGTTTGGCGTCCCAATGGAAATGGTGTGAAAAACTACGGTCCAATATTTGGCAAAATAATTCATGGCAGTTTCTCTTTCGCTTCAGATTTCTGACTTCGCGCTCAAGACAGTTGCTGAATCGCAATTAAGTCGAATGCAAATGCAAATCGACGGCGAATGAATTGACAATGACAAAGAGTATTAAACGTCCGCCGCCTTTTAGTTGTAACCGGGTCCTCCTTACCTATGTGGTGAGTACCTGCCATCGCAGGATTTCCTCATATGAAGAGTTCTTCCTTGCAGATATTAGCCTACACAGTAGCCGCCCACAGCTCGCCCCCGCCATGTGGCCTCTACGGGGCGCCTCCTTGCCAATTCCTGCCGGCGCCTCCTGGACAAACGCCTACCTGCGCCCGTCCAGGAAAAACCTACTGCGAGCACGCTGACAACTATCCCACGTAAGTATGATTTATCTACAGTACTTTGCTAGAGAACTTAATAAATCTCTTTTATTTTATAACTTTAAATATGTTATCCTTCAGAAATGACCAAAATCAAGATTGGGTCTACTTCATCTTCAGTCCAATCAATACCTCTTCATTCGAATGCATTTCAAACAAATGTTTGACCACGAGGCAGTTTCGGTTTGAATTTGAATTCGCTATCGAAATCGAAACTTGTTCGCTGGCTCCGCATTAGCATACGAGCATCTGCGAGTGAGTATCTTTTGTGGCCGCTTCCGCGACGAGCTCTCCGATGCTGCGATGCTCAGATACTCAGATACTTAGATACTCGCACTGATGCTGTTCGGGGGCTTCTGCTCTTAACCAGCTGGGGGAGCTCCTTGACCCAATAAACTTGAATTGACAGTTCAAGACACTTTTTGTTTGGCTCCTACTAAGCAGCGGAGCTTCGGCGACGATTCGACGACTGGCCGCGTGCTTCTCGAATATTTATGAATGCCTCCGGTGAATAATCGTGTCTTCGGGGCATCGTAAGTTGCCTAGAAACCGGCACTTTGGCGCGTGAGCCAGGGTATTAGGGTGTGCTTTAGGTTTTTCTGAAGAACGCTATGATTTTTAATGAATAAAAGATTTCGGTTATAAATTAATGGATTTTCAAAAATATATTTATTACAATCCTGTTCAGACTTGAGGTTTTGGGTGTGATCTTAGTTTTCTTCGATCTCATAAAATATTGAAAATAAGGTTACCGTATATATCCACCTTTTAAAGGGAAAACACTTGATCAAGACTTGAAGGTACAGAGAAATAAAATCAAGGGAAAGAGCATCTCATATTCAATATTAGTAGCCATATTGCATCTTTTGTCTTACGTGCTCCGAAGATGGCACTCAAATTTGTTGCTTTGTTTGTTTGTTTATCACCCGCCTTCGCTCGACTGGTTGGTCGTGTTTGCCCGTCTATTTTTAGAGCATTTCTTTGGCTTGGATTTAAATAAAATGTGCGTTAGTTGGTAATGGTAATGCGAATGGCTTGATAAGCCATTGGCGCCGACGCGGCAATTAAATAGGCATTTTTATTGCAGCGATTGCATTGGAATTTCTGAGGGTTGCATAATTCTCAAAAATATATATTATGTGGGAAAGCCCCAAGCGGGTTTTTACTATATACGAGCCACCACCACTACCACCACCTTTCTCCGCTTTTGCGGCACGTGACGCGCATGCGATGGCCATTGATAAGAGTCGCAGGGCAAAAGCACTGAAGACTGCGCCACTGCCACTGCCAATTTATTATTTACGATGTCTGAGCCTCCCAATTTTTTCTGTCTTGCCGGCGGCCGCATATTAATTATGATACTCATATTTGATTTGGCTTGAGCAACGCCGCAATTACCATTTCGCAGTAGTTTCTGGCACTTGTCTGTCAGGCGGTCTGTGACTTGCATAATTCGCTGGCTCCGACAAGTGCCTGATATACGTACTCGCCTTCCCAGCCTGTTAGCCATCGCAGCTTGCATCACTCATTGTTTCCCTGTTTCTGCTCGCACGCAGGGAAAGAGTCTGAGAAATAAGGTCAATCTCCACTCGTAATTAACAGGTACAAGTGGTTGTGCAGACGCACAGGCACAACCAATGAAGCGATTCCATATTGTTTACATTACTTTTATTTTCGTTATCTTGTTTATTCAAATATATTTGGAGTCCATATGAGCTTATATCACCAACTAACAAGCCCTTCAAACATCTCAAATGCTTCAGGTATCTCATCAAGAGCCTCGTTCGGAAGTGGGGCTATGAGGCCGCCACTTTGCTGGTGGACGAAACCTGGGAGGACTTCGCGGCAGTGGCGTGGCACGACACCCCCGTCTTCTACGATCCCAAGTCCATCTTCCCGCCCCGCGACCCGAACGCCCAGGACTTCAATGGCTACAGCTACCAGACTCCCTTCGGAGGCAATCCCCAGCGAGCGAGTGGCGGAGGCAACTCCCTCTTCGCCAGCAATCCCTCAACGGAAGCGCCAACGTGAGTACCCAGAAGTCACTGAACGAATTTTAATACAATGTATGACCAGCAATTAAAAACCACTTGTTCTGGCAGCTGACTTTCAACGTTTTCGAAGGTCTTCATTTAGATTAGATTTGTGAGCAACACAAAAGAGAAAACTCCAGAGTTTAGCCTTGAAAGTAGAGTTACTATAAAAAATGAACTTATGAATGGCTTTTTAAAATCTGATCAAACATTTAATAATGAAATCCATAAAAAAACACTATCATTATAAGCAAATCATGATTTCATTGGAGCAGGTTTAACTGATTTGCCATATTATTGATCAAATTTGCGTAAAGAACTTTAATCTGCGGACTCTAAAACTCCCTTCTCCCTTAGGTATCTCCTGTACACCTCCTCGGGAGGAGGTCATCGCTCCGGCCAGCGGTACAACCAGCAGGGAGGCACTTCACCCGCCGGCGGTCAGCTGTTCTTCAACCAGGGAGGCAAGTCGACTCCCTACAATGCCACGCTCTGGCTGAAGCGGTTGGTCAGGGATCTCAGTCGGAAGCAGAGACAAGCCGAGGAGGAAGTGGAGGAGGAAGTGGTGGAGGAGGAGGATGAGGAGGCGAAGGAGGAGGAGGAGGAGGAGGAGGACGAACCATCGGAGGACCATCCTCAAAGCAAGCGCGACGTCTCGCTCAACTTGGATCTCTTGGATATCGTGGGCGTGGATGCCCCCGATCCGCAGAAGAAGCGCTCGAGGACAAAGCGCCAGAGTCCTGGGCGCTCGACCCTCTGCCAAACGACCTCGCAGTTCATCACCCCGCAGGCGGCCCTAAACAGCCGTGGAAACTGGATGTTCGTGGTCAACGAGCAGAACACCGCCCGCCAAATGGTCAAGGCGGAACTGTGCGCGTAAGTAAAATGCTTAAAACTAAAACTTAATTCTGAATGAAAAAGAGAAGGATTCGGAATTCCACTTAAGTTTAATTAAATGTGCTCTTTGTTCTTTGTCAACAAATTTAAAGGAAAACTATATTTCTACTTGCATTTTACACGCGTGTTTGTGTGGATTGTGTCCCGACTAAAAAGAAAGCAAGCAGTGTACTGCTTTGCGGGCGAGTTATGCCTTGTGGTTAACACATTTTGTGATCTAAATGCCATGAGTTCCGAAAATATATTAAAAGATTATAAAATTTAAATAAAGGTATAAAGGAAATAGAGATAACTATTTTAATAGTCACTTATTTCATTCCCCAAAAACGGAAACGAAAAATATCATGGCAATATAAAAGAAAATAAGCACAATGAATGAATTGATATAGTTAATATTTGCCTACTCGAGAAACATGATTTCATTGTTATTATAAACCAGATGCCATTTGCACCCTCCTTTACATTGTATTTTCCTTCACAAATTATAATCCGTAATTGTTTCTTCGCATTAGGGGAAATTGTGAGTGACTTGTCCATCCATCCAGCTTGAAGTAGCCTTTGTCGCTCATTATTTCGAGTATTTGCTCCTGTGATCGCAGTTGCACCCCTTACCGTTCTCACCACTTGTAATCAGTGCCCAGGTGACCCGACAACCCCATTCCAATGTTAATAATTCGCGGCGGGACGCCCAAGGTTCCCCCACTCCCATTTGCTTTTTATCGAAGCCAGGGGACATCCCTCGCACCGGAATCCCTCCCTTCGCCGGCGAGCACGTGGTTAGTGCAGGTCCGTTTACACGGTGTCATAATTGCGGTTAAACGAATTATCACACCCCGAAAACGAGAGAGAAATACCAGAGCAGTCCGCCATTAGGCCATATCCTTGTCCCCTGTTTTGTTCCCCTCAGCGAGGTCCTTCCCCCTTTTTCCTTTTTCCCTGATGCGTGCGCTACTCGAAAACCTTTCCACACTCGTCCAGAAAAAGCGCAAACAAATGCCGGCATCGGGGTGAGGTGGCTGTGCTCTGTGTTCTGTGTTCTGGTTCTTCGGGTTGGGTCAACGCGTTGCCCTAATTGTGGCCCGTTCGTCCCGCTTCCCCGCTCTCCCGCAACTCTCGAACCCAGTCCCTTCTCCCTGCTCCGCCGGCGCCCTTCCCCTTTTCACTGCCACTTGTTGTTGGCACTGAACCCGGAACTTGGCGCAATTTGTTTAACCAAATGGAGTACCTACGCAGGCGCGCATAAATCTTGGCCGACGAACAGCTGGGAGCAGGGCTACACTGGGAGAAGTTTAAGGCACAATGTTCTCTAAAGGTATTGCCTATATATTATATAAGGTTAACCAACTGGTTTACTTCTAATCATCTTACATACTCTGTTATGCACTGAATTCCTTTTCATCCTTAAGCTGAAATTAAAGTATTTCCCCAAGTGCAGGGATTTTACCGTTGCTTCCGCTCGGACTGCGACTCCTTATCAATTACGTACGATTCCCGTTTTAACGAGTTCGTTAAACTTTCAACTCTGCTCCGCCTGCGACTCGAGAGTCAAGATCTTCGACGTCCTCCTTTCCAAGGAGTCGCAGCTGGCGCTCCTTGCTTGTATTTATGCCGGGCGACCCACAACTAAATTGTGCTCAATTGTTGATTTTTAGCATTCGGTGTTTCGCATTCGCCACTTATTTCGTTATTTCGTTATATCGTTTACTCTGCAGCTCGAACACCTGCTCGAACCTGTGCGAATTGCCCAACGGCTACAACTCGAGATGCGAGCAGAAGTTTGTGCAAAAACGCTTAATTGCGCTCCAGGGCAATGGACAAAATCTCTACACGGACACGTTCTGGTTTCCCAGTTGCTGCGTCTGCACGATAGCCGCCAATTAAGTGTGTCCGTGGCCGAAGGACGAGGACTAGGAGGAGGACGAGGACTAGGAGGAGGAGGACAGGACACCGCATTCTCAGCGGCGAATTTGGCAATCCATATCGCAATCCATATCCCACACACAAAGACACTCAATATCTCTCTCATGTAGTTACACAAACACACAATGTAGTTCTTAAAATGTAATTTAAATTCGAAAACATCGAGTGAGGCATGCAAAATTGGATTTATGCCCGCACAATCCCTTTTTGTTCTGCATAGTAGCATTAGAGTTACCCTGTGAACGATCTAAAGGATATCAAATAAACAACGCTTCGAGGCAATGCTTTTTCAACTTGGCATCCTGCATTCATTTATTTCGGCGAGTTCACATTTATATTCGGTGCCTGTGGTAAGTTCGAACTGCATTCAATTAATTAAGATACACATCGATTTCCATAAACTCCTTAATTCAATCAGTACTCGCACACGTTTCAATTCCCCGCATTGGTAAACACACAGTGACACAGAACGAGCTCCGACAAACAATTTTATTAAGCCCTGGGCATAGAGTAAATCGGATTTTGTGGTTTTTAATTAATATAGTTATTCCTTTGGCCGCTGTGCCAACACAAAACCCCAAAGGATACGCAACTTTTAATTGTGAAACGGCGAAACGAGAGTTTCCGCAGCGGCAGAAGCGGCAAAAACAGCCAGCAACAACACCTGCTGAGCTGCAAATGCAATTGCGTTCCATAAATCCAGAAACAATAATCGTAAAATAACATCAGGTGTCACGCGCACCAAACGCGGCTCAAAAGGGGGAATTGTCGCGGAGAAGAGGACTCGAGGCCTCCGAGGATATGGCGGCGTAGATTGTCAGAGGATATGGAAAGGATGTATTGATGGTTTTTAGTTGGTTGGATCGGTTTGGTTTTGGACCGATGATGTACGAGTGAGTATGCCCTTGCATCCGTACATCTGTGACACCAAAAGTGCTCCAGATGGCTCCAGTCGGTGGCACGATGGAAAGTATGGAAGGGAGCAGCTGAAGATTAAGGACCCCGCGTAATACATTGGGGTCTTGTTTAAAATGAGTGGGAAAACAAATGTTTCATAGTCAAATAGAGAAGTTTCCTTTACCGAAAGGCCTTTATGCTGTTAGGATTTCATCTTTCAGGTCAGTGAACTTTTGAAATGCATTTTTGCATTCGCATTTGGTTATTTTCTGTATCATCCAAGTGTCTCGATAAATACTCACCATCTACACACGTGAGCAATCATAGATGTGCTCAGCCCGTTGGGAAATATTCCGAATTGCATAACAACAGTTCAGTTGACCAAACATATTCGCAACATATTGATAAGCCCGAGTGCTAGTGTTTGCCTGGCCGAAATCTTAATTAAGCCAAAGGTGCAACAGCCTCGTCCTGTTGCAGCCTGTATTTGTGTTCTTTATATTGTATTTTGTACCTGTTGTGGAAAACTCGGCCAACCAGCCTGCACACAGTGGGTATTTTCAACTGGCAGCGATTCAAACTGGCACAGTGGGACGGAACCTCCCATCGAGCTCTATTGAGGCCAGCTCACACCCCGTGACTCTGCCGAGGGTTAATTTGTCCTCTATAAGGATTCGTTTGCGAGCGAGCGAGAGGGAGAGCAGCAGAGGTCTGATTGTATTGTGCAGAGTTTTAGCAATGATTAGCATCACGAAATGGAAAACTATTGTTCCAATACGCAGTGGAGAACCAGGTAAACAGGCATTGACAAATCAGGTAAGGATTAGTCCGCAAAACAAAAACCAGGAATGAAATGCTGAAATTGTTGCATTTCAAAGAAAAAAGAAACTAATGAAACTAAATAAATTTAAATTCATTTTTTAATAAATGTTTAATCAAATAAGATACCTTATTATATATTATTTTGAAATAAAATAAAAACAGATAATTTAAAGTGAAGAAAGTAAAGTGCACAGTTGCTTGGCTTAAATTTGATTTTTTGCCAGTGAATCTTGTGAGCTGCAGGCTCCTCTAAGGACGGTCAATGTCCAGATCCCCCACCTCCGCCCTTTGGAAACCCAACAACAACAACACAAACAACAACGAAGGAGCAGCTGAAGTTTCTGCCAGTCCAACAACAACAGCAATAAAAGCGGACAGAGGGAGAGGGCAGCAGTGCGATTGCCTGGCAGGCGAGGGGAGAGCGAAAGAGATGGCCTGCTGCTGGCAAACAGTGCAGAATAAGGCATCAAAAACAACAACAAGCAGCAGCACAATGCAGCGGCAGCGCTGCCAACGTCGACGTCGTTGTTGTTGCTGTTGCTGTGCGTTTGTGTATAAAAATTTAACATCTGCTCCTTTCATGATTTCGGTTTCGGAAAACTCAAAACTCGTACAACAACGAGGGCTGTAATGGCACAAATAAAAATATACGTGCGAGTGTATGGGTGAGTGTTCCTCTCTCGCTCCGACCCCAAGTGCCCTCTCTTTTTGGCCGCCTGTTGTTGCTGTTAATGCATTTGGCTTGCTTTACTCGTATTACGTGTGCATTGCCACTCCGAGATACAAGAGGAGCCGAGATGCCGAGATGCCCAGATACTCGGATGCCGAGATACTCTGGAAGCGCTCCTTTGAGGCTCTGCGATAGTAAAGCATCCTAAACCGAATGAAATAAATTAAAACATGGAAGGCGGCAGCAGGAAGCGGCAGCCCGGCATCCACAGGATACTTTGGTCCTGGCGGATGCCATGCATCTTCTGGTGCATTCAACTTGGGCGAGAGATTTTAGCTCTTCTCCGGTGCTTTTGCCCTTGAAGAACCTAAGCTGCACTTTGAGAAACCAAAAGTTTTCTTCAATCATTTTTATTTTAGGTGTTCAAATAAAAATTAAAACTGTTATATATATATATATACATTTTATAATATAATATTCATAGTTTCGATAAGGAAATTTTAATTGTTAAGTATTAATAAAGTAACTTTAGAAAATAACACATCATTTTGTAAAATGCTTCCATTAAATCCTTACCCATTTCCACAATTACAAACATTTAAGGCTACTGACAAGCTGCATTTATTTTAAATCCTAATTGCAGTGTATTTGATTTTTCATTCTTATTACAATTTTTCCCATACTTGCCTGCTTTTATTTTTGCGCACATTTATTCATTTTCAAATACTTTAGCAGCACCAACTGTCAGATACATTTCTGGTCTTCTTTGCCGCTCGTCTTTTTGTTGTGGCTGCTTGCAGTGTGAATGTCCTTTGCTGTCCTCACAAAGGACACGCAGAAAGCAAATAAGAGAGAAAAATAAGAAAACCCATGAGCAGAAGAGAAACTTGGAGCAGCTTTCGAGAGTTGGAAAGTAAACTAGAACTTGTCTCAAGATCGAGAACTTGTGAACTATCTACCGAAAGAGAGAACGATGACCCAAAAGCCGGCTGCATCTCGTTGTTTGTGCAGATGTTTCCTTAGGACTCCTGGCTCCTCGTGGGATTCTATGTGTACTTTTCGTGCATGGGACAGGTCAGTTTTCCGGGGATTTCGTTAAGGGTTGCGCCCCTAGGTTGAATGATTTTCCATTACGCAATGCAAATAGGCGGCAGCGTTTCGCGGACTCCTCTTTGTTTTGTTATTTTTTTCCCTTTTCTGTCAGCGCCAGGCAACAATGCAACTGTCAAGGTTTCCATTTTCCGCCGTGGATGGCTGTGTATCAAAAGGCGGAAAAATGGCAGCTCCACTAATAGTTGGCATGAAACGAGGTTGCAAAAGGACCACCAGAAAAAAGTGAAATGAAATCAACTGACATATAGAGCCGCCCCCTCTCTTTGCGCAAAAAAAAGGGGCAAAACATAGAAGGCAAATTGTACCGAAATCCCGCAGCAGCAGCCAGTGCAGTGCCAGGATATATGGCACATGCCCACAAGGTCCTGCGTCCAGCGCAGCAGCAGCAACAGCAACAGCAGCAGCAACAGAACCGCAGCAACAGCAGCGAGAAAGACAGTCAACAGTTGCAGGTCGAAAGCTCAATGCCCTTGTTACCTTAAGTCATAATCAATTCTGATCCTAGTACCTTCTGCAATTTTTTAAACTGAGCAAAGATAAAACGATATGCCTTTCATTTCATAAGAAGAATCTTAACTAAAAGAGCATCCCAAACCCAATACTGTGGGAACCCATTTCAAGTCAATAGCTTTTTAAGGGAATAATAGAAAGTATGAATCATAACCCTCTTGAGGTTTAAAATGATATTACCCTCTGAAAGGGTATTACAAATAAAAGCAGCAGAAAATATCTCGTAGTGCACATAGATTGCAAGTTCGCATTGTAAGCGCGAAACTAGGGAAAAAATTTTTAATTGGAACAACAACTGTACAGCGCAGCAGCAGCAACAACAACAGCAGCAACAACAACAGCAGCAACAACAACAGCAGCAGCAACAAAAGCGCACTTCAAACGCCGCATGCTCGCATCCGTGTGCTGCTGCCTCTCAGCGTGAGTGTATTGGTGTGTTAATGAAAGAGAGAGGATATGCAGCTGTAAGTGTCGCTCAGAGTGTGTGTGTGCCAGGACCTCGAGCCAAAGTTGCAAGCGCAACTGCAACATGAAAGGGCGAAGGCAGCAACAGTCAGCAGCTCGGAAGATCGATCTTGGGTTGCAAGGCAACACGAAACAGCAGATAGCAAACGTCAAACCACAGGGTGACCCCAGCAAAGTATTTTCAAAACTATTAGATAAAATTTGAATCCAGATACATACACTCAGAGAATAAATCGTCTTCTTTGCTCTAAAACTAGAATACTGATGGTAATTTAACTTTAGATTTATTTGAACTGTTAAAGAAAATCAACAACATTTGAATCTTTAATAAAAATCGATTATATGCAATAAGAGTTTATTTGCTTCGAGGCAGTGCAATAATTATTTTGAAATAATTCCTAATGTATGGGGTACGTTATGTTCACCGGCAACTGGCAACATGTTGCTTGCGCACACGTTCGCTGGCCGAGCGGTTCGATGTTGCCTCCGTCGTCGGGGTTGGTTTGTTGCCGCTCGCTGCTGCACGGCGCAATCAGTTGTTGTGTATCCTTCGGGTGAAAAGTTTCCTACAAAACCGAACTTTTCGCACCGCCGCCGTCGCCGTTCGAGCGCTAGAAAAACGAGTGCGAGTGCGAGAGAAATCCACTGACTAACTAATTTCGGGGGCCTTCTGTCCTTTCGGTGTGATCGAGTCGAAGGACTCGCGACTAACTGGTTCCACAATCAGAAACCACCAGCCAAAATCAGTTGCCAATGTGACCAGTGAAATACCATAGTTGAAACCACAACAACATCGAGAACTCCAGCAGATGCCGCATCTGCCGTTCTGAGTTTTTCAGTTTATCATCTCAGTCCCAGTCCCGCTTTTAATTTGCAGTTCCAGTTCGCGTTCGGTTTTCTGGTTTTCCCTGCATTTTCCGCCTTATTTATTTTGCGTTCCTTTCGTTCAGTTCTCGCGTCGCGGTCTGTTATTGTGAACTTTCGTTTTCGTGCGGTTTTTCGCGGCTTTTCTAACGGTCCAACAACGGGCGGCCAATGGATAAGGAAACTGGTCAGGATTTCCAATAGCTTCAAAACACTCACTCTTTTCCGAGGGAAAACTCAAGGAGAGCAGAAGAAAATGGATTAACAACAAAGGTTTGTACATGGCTTTCTAATAGAGGACTCTAAATAAATTAAAAGGGAGGTTATATGGTATTGAAATTATCCTAATGGAAGTCATATTTTTTACGAAACAGTTGACAAGATGGTTTTACTCATTAGTTTATTCATCTAACACCAAACAGCTTAAAAAAAATTATTCAATTCCGCAAATCAATAAGAATGCTTATATCCCTTTCATATACCGACTCCAATTAATTGAACCAATTGAGGAAATGTATAAAAACGTTGAACTCCATTCAAATATAAAATAGTATTTCGCCCCTTTTCCTAATCCCCCAATTAAATTCACCTCTCGCCCGAGAGCCAAAGAAAAACAAATTTCCAATTGAAATTTGCATTTGGGCCGCAGGAAATATGTTTCGAGCGTAAACACGTAAACAAAGAGATAACAATTGTTATTGGTCATCCGAGGATCAAATTACAATAAGTGCAGGCTCAAAGGGAGCCGGGAAATCAAAAGCACCTAAGCAGGCAATTTCGGGCTGCTAAGGAGCTTTATTTGTGCACGGCAAATAAACAAAATGAAAATAAAAATAATAATGAAATCGAGGCAGCAGGCAAACTTTTTGTCCGCGAACATATTTTTGGAGATGAGTAATGACAACAGAAGGAGAACTGTTGCTACATTTGATAGATACATTTGGCGCTTGTGTTTGCGCCAACTTAAATTGAAAAGCAGCGGACTCCGAAGTTCTTCTGGTTCTGAAGAGTTGAGTTGAGTTGAGGCCCAGAAGGCAGCCACACAGCGCCAAGCGGTACAGAAACAAAGATGCGGATGCTCGTAACTAACAGTAACGTGCGTACATCTTCAAGATACTTTTTGGCGCGCTCAGAACAGAAGCGCCAAAAAAGAAGCAAGACAAGTGAAAAGGAACGAGAAGCACAACAGAAAGCGAAAAGCTAAAGACACAGAGCCAGATACTTGTGCTCCTACAGATACAAATACTCATGCAGATACAGATACAGATACAGATACAGAGACTCAGCCCGCCTTGACATGGCAATAAAGAGAATTTAAAGAAAGATAAATAATAAGACCAAACAAATTGAGGCGCAGGCCGCGAAAGAAGTTCAAGTTCAGTGGCGTTCGTATCTGCAGCCGTAGCCGTAGCTGTATCTGTATCTGCTGGATGCAATTTGTCGGCGGCCGCCTGCAAGTTTATGACTGCCCTACCCCCAGTGAACTCCATACCAGATCCACTCTATATTTAGCCTCCGCACTTTTTGTTTACATTCAAACGCCCGCTCTCCATTCACGAAATACCGGCCCAAAACACAAGTAGGCGAAAGGACACGCAGGCAAATTAAGGCTTTGACCTAGAGAAAAATAAACAACACCCAGGATATTCCCCCTCCACTGCCCCTTTCCCCCTTCTCTCTCGTTAACGGCAACGTGCGTGACTTTGAAAGCATGCGAGGCAAATGACAAACTCGTAAATCTCAACATACTCACGGGAAGTGGGTGGTGGCGCCTTCGGGCGGGCGTGGGTGGCCCTAAGTGCCCGCTCTCCTCTGCATACGAGTATACGCTTAATACCCGGCCGCGTATGCCTGTCCATGAGCTCCTTGCATGGCTTCATTGGGCCGCACAGCACGTTTCATTTCATCCGCACCTGCACCACCGCGCCACTCCGCGCACCACCCAACCACCAGCCCGGCTTGGGCACAACTCAATTTACACGTGACACACACAGGAACGGGATGTGGAGCACTGCCAGGCGAATTAACTCGTAAGAGGCGTCTCGCAAAATATTCTCACTCACTTCAGCAAAGAAATATTATTGTTCAATTCTCCATCATTAAAGATTGGATCCGTGAAATATTTCAATTCAATTGTCTTATAATACTGGTAGAGAATTAAACAATGTTTTCACACTTCGTCTTTATTAAACTTTCAAAAACTCTTCCTTCCTTATACTGTAAACTCGATCAAGTGATTCCACCACCTTCGCAAGAAATGCAATTTCAGCCGTCTAGTTCGTATCATTAACATAAAAGGAAATTATTTTCCCTCCTGCCAACCGGTTTGTAGGGCTTCTTGAAATGTTAGCCAGCGAAGTGATGCCACCCCACCGAAACTGGAATTTTATTCATTAACTTGCAGCGCTGCAGCATTTGGCAATTGTACAACATGCATAAATATGCAAACTTATTAAGCCCCGAAAATAGTTGCAGAACAGTGAAATGCCGGGGAAAAATGTTAATAAATATTTAGCCCAACTGTTTTCGAACAATCCTCGTATGAGCAAAAGTTGTAAACAAGCGCAGAATGTTCAGATAACATATTAAAATATTACTTTGGAGCGGGTGAGCCGGGAAAGTGGTTGCTGGGGAGCGCAGTTCGGGCTTGGGGTTCGGGGTTCGGGGAGGGAAGAGGAGCACTTCATTTGCACAAATGGAGCGTCAGCTTGACAGACAGACAGGCGGGTGGAGGAGTCCTGCAGGATTCTGCGCTGGGTGGTGCCAGGTTTGTTCCTGCCCGACTGTCGGTGGCTGCACTCGTTACCAAAAGCGGTTGCTGTGGGTTAAGGGGTATGGCGATTCGAGTGGCTGAATGGAATTCATAAGCAGAATAGCTATCTTCACCTTAAAGAATTTAACTATTTTTACAATAAAGTGTGAGGGATATACTTATAGAATAACTACTTTAATTGAGAGTTTGTACACTTATATTAAGTGCATATTCGAAACTTAGTGTAAAGTATTGCAAAGTCCGTAGTGCCGTTCTAAATTCATTTCATATTTTCCACTTTTCTCTCCCATTTCCCGTGCCCCGTCGAGTTCAAACAACTGCAAAGTCAAACAACGCACAGGTAGCTCCGGTGGATGGCTTCCACCTGAAACCCCAGATCCTGTGCCAGATTCAGCTCCTGTTTTGTTCCTGTTTCTCGTCCTGCGGCTTCGCTTGCGCTCCTCTTTGCACATGCAACTCCCCGTGTCTGTGTTTGTCTGTAGCCCAGTTCTCCGTCCTGCGAAGCCCCCTACCGCAATATAGAATATATACTGCCGAAAAACAGCCCTCGCAGTCACCTAGATTCTGTGCCGCCTGCTGCCGCTGCCACTTCCATTCAACGACTCCACAGCGACTTTGTTTTCCAAATGACGCATTGTTCGGTCGCATACGAGTACATATAGGACGCTCGTATGTGGCACTCTTGTATGCGTCTGGGCTGCGTGTTTAATTTGCAAATTCAAAATGCGAGAAAATAAAGAATGTTGTACGAACATTGTACATACATGTTGCAAAAATGTGCTGCATTAAGCGTGAGCAGCAAACAAGAAATTTAAGTGAATTGCGGTCATTGTTTCTGCCTCAGCTTTATTTTTCTTCTTTTTCTTTTTTTTTTTTTTTTTGGAGCATATACAAATACTGGGGCAGTTGGAAATAGAAACCCCGCTTTTTAAAGACCTATCCATACGTTCATAACATTGAAATTCAGCTCGGGAGCTTTGCATGATAAGATTAGATTAGATATGAAGTTCAGAATTTGATTGGAGTTTGTTTAATTTTGAGGAGGGGTTTGCCGAATAGCTTATGTAATACTTAGAGTTATATCACTCAGCGGAAACGCCGAAGGAACTGATCGAAATGAACTCAAAGCTTGATACTTGAACTGAAGATTAATTTTACAAACTTTCTCGAAACGTTGGCAACTTGGATTGGGTCAAGGAAAAGGAAGTGCTAATTGCAGTCCGCACATGTTGCAATTTTCCCAACGCTTTGGCCCAATTTCGGCAAATCGCGAGTGTCCCTCGATCGGGATCGGAATCGGGATAGGGATCTTTATCGCGGCAAGTCGAGCGTAAGACTCGTAACTCTCCCAGGAAAGCGAGGATCGAGGGGGGCAAAGGGGGAGGACGGGTCCGAAGTTACAGCTGCAGAACAGGAAAGGATGAAAGGCCAGAAGTGGAAACGCGAAGCGGAATCGCATAAAACGGAAAGTGCAGCAAATTGTGGCAGCTGCAACATTTTGTGTTTTTTCCTTCGCTGCAGGTTCTCTTCTCCACTCTTTCCTCCTTTTTGTTGGTTTCGCTTGGCCGTTGGCCTTTTACCGTTTTTATTGAAGGCACTGCAACAAAGATAATGCGAGCGAGACGGCAATACAAGAGGGAGCAGGGGAGCGAGGGAGCAGGGGCAATTGCAGCACGCAAATTGCAGTCGACAAAATAATCAGACTTTAATTGTCGTTCTGCAACAATGTGCAGGCAGAAGAACTCGGGGCCAGAAGAACCTCAAGGAACCCAAACGAACTTCCCGAGGACAAGAACAATGGGGCAGATGACTCAGTCGACTTGTCAACCGAAATCAGGCGAAAGTTTCGCAATTTTAAAACTTGGGGGTGGAATCGCCCGTAAAGATGCGGAATCTTTAATTCTTGTGACTGGAAATTGTTTCTGTGTAACATCGCTCACAATAAAATACCAATATTTCACATTTTTAAGAGAAGTATCGCCGTAGTTCAATCTATCCATTTTATTTTTACTGCAGTTGTTAGCATCTTAATAATATTTATGATCCTTGGGCCACAAAACCAATTTCGTTCCTTTAGCTTTTGGCAATGTTGTCTTAATTTAAGGAAATGAATTCAAGTGAAATCCATATTTCTCAATTATCCCAAGCTAATTAATTTCACATTTTCACTCACTTAAACACCTCAAAAGTCATGCATTTAAGCACATTCCCTCATATTCAAAAACTGGTGCAGCTTGGGGCACTATCCAGAGCATACATAATAATCATCCTCGACCGCCGCAGTCATCCTCATCAACATCGTGATGAAAAAGCCCAGGTTCCGAGCCCAATGAACTTTCTGAAGCGCATCGAAATGCTCGCTGGCCAAATGCAAAAAAGCCAAAGGACGCGCACGGCAACAAAAAAGAAACCAAAAGTACACCTGTGCCTCAAAAAAATAATAAATATAAAAATAAAGGAAAACGAAAAGATACAACAGCGAGGAAAAAATGGCGAAAAAAGGCAAGAAAATGACAACGGCGTTGAAGGCAACTGAAATACGCTTATGTGATGGTATAAGTGTGTGTGCCGCTGTATGTGTGTGTGTGTGTGTGAGAGGCTTTACAAAGCCAAAACCAACTTGGCAGCATAACTTACAAGCCAAAAAACGAGAAAAAACAACAACAGCAGCGGCAATAAAAAGCCAGAAGTGAGTGTCCTTTAGCTCATTTTTTTTTGTGCTCTTCGTTTTTTATTATTATTTTTTTGCCGCTTCCTGCCTCGCTGACTTGGCCGCTCATTATATAGTCAAAGACCATAATTATGTGTTGAAGTTTGTAGATGTTTAAGGCCAGAAAGGGAAAAGGAACAGAGAACTCGAAAAAAAGAACATCGCGTAAGAAACTTTTCAGCAAGGATATTTTTATAAGAAACTCAGAGACACCTCTATGTAAAACTTAACTAACAACTTTTATTTTTTCTGCCTCTTTATAGATTCTGATCAAAGGATTTGAGAACAACGGCCGCAACAACAAAAGCACTTTTGAAGATCTTTAAACAACTTTTTAAATAAAACCCCCTTTCGGCCCATAATCAAAATTGAAAACCAAACCTACGAGAACGCATTAAATGAATTAAGCTAAACAACACACAACTTATATGAAATATAAAATATTATTACTATTAAAGCCAATAACATATAACGCGCTAATGTTTAATTAATTGTTAAGTCCAGAACCCAAACAAACAAACGGAAGACAAAGATTTTTAAGCCTACGCATTAAGTACAATTTACTAGACATAACTACCTAAATTATTTTTATATCCGACGACATATTAACAAAGCAAATTAAATTGAGAAACGAAGCAAAAACCAGAGTACAAAGTCATAATCAATTTACAACAAGCAAGCATCAAATATTATCAACAACTAACAGCAAGTAATTAATAAAAATAAAGTAAATACAACAACAACGCATACAAAATACAAATTTTACAAATTACAAATTTACAAAGATTTTTAAAGAAAAAAAACCAAACCAAGTCTGCTACGAATTAAATCAAATATCAAATACAAATTTTTGCCTAGCTGCCGTTTTACAAACAAACAAAAGAATAAAGTACAAACAACCAACAAATCTTAAACAATTTTTAAAACCAATTTAATAAAAGCACTTTACAAAGGAACACCATAACAGATAAATAATCAACTTTGCATTAAAAAACACGCAAAACCAGTGAGTTCAAAATAAACGAAATACAAATCTTGGATAGCTTCAACTTATATATAGTATACAAATATATTGTACGGATGTAATCAGAGACAGAGTGTTTTACACTAGCCAACAAACAGAAACAGAAACAGAAACCAGTCGAATCAGAAACATTTTCAAGAAGAACTACCTCAAAATCAGAGAAGCGAACGAACAGTGAACCGAAAAGTGTACAAAACCAATCGATCGAATCTTGAACCGCAGAATCAGTACAAAGCCCCGCAGTTCCCAAAGACAACTGCATAGCCATGCCAGAGTTTGAGCTTAAATGGCGTCTTCAATTTTAGCCCAGAGCAGCACAGGTGCTACCGTCGACAGCAGCAACTTGGCAGCCAGCGCAGCCTCAGCAGCGGCAACATCTGTGGAGGCCACCGTGTCCTCTCTGCACAACACCCATCTCAACCAGCTGAGCAGCCTCAGCCAGCAGTACACCGCGCCGTACCATCCGCATTCGCATCCGCATCCGCACCACCACTACCAGCAGCACTATCCGCAGCAACAACATCTCCAGCAGCAGCAACACCATCAGCAACAGCAACAGCAGCAACACCAGCAGCAGCAGCAACAGCAGCAGCAGCAGCAGCACTGGGACTACTATGCCAGGCAGCAGCAGCAACACCAGCAGCAGCAGCAGCAACAGCAACAGCCAGCGGCCGCCACCAACGGCAATAGCAACAGCAACCACAACAGCAGCAACAACGACGGCAGCAACACTACCGTTCCAGCGCCTCTGGGCAGCAGCAACAGCGGCAGCAATCATGCTAATGTCGCAACCGGTGGCAACACTGGCCAGCGGCACGGCGATGCCAATGCCAATGCCAATGCCCTTTCCGCCGCCTCCGCCGCAGTAGGAAATCCGGGGAATCCGGGAAACCCAGGCAACCAAGGGAACCCAGGGAATCCGGGGAATCCCAACAATACGACGACTAACGCAAACGCAAACGCAAACGCCAACTCAAATACGAACTCGAATTCGAACTCCAACTCAAACTCGAACGGAAGCTACACGCGTCCCTGGGAAATGGAGTCGAAGGACAATGGTCCGCAGCCCCAGACGCAACCGCACATGCAGCTGAAGAGCGGCTTCGAGCCCTTCTCCAAGCTGCCCTCGTTCCAGAGCCAGTTCCACGGCTTCAACGAGCAGCTCCTCCCGGACGGAACCCCTATGCCGGTGCCCGTGGGAGCAGGAGTACCGCCGGCCTCTGGTTCCACGGCTCCTGGCTCCGCACCCGGCTCGATGTCCGGCTCCGCAGTAGCTAACTCCGGAGTTACTGGAGCCTCTGCCTCCGCCATGAGCTCCCTGCAAACGGTGGCCATGTCGCCGGCCAGCATATCGGTCAGCTCGCCCGGCATGATGAGCGTGGGCTCGCCGCTGACCCAGTTCCCGAGTCTGCAGGCCAGCATCACGCCCCCCTCGGCGGGCAGCTTCCCGGCCCCGCCGCCGCCGAACGCCTTCGCGCACCACCACGCCCTCAATCCGCACCACCACCACCGCGGGGCAGCGGGCTATCCCGCTCCGTACGGCGAGCTGCCGCTCTACCCGGGCTTCACCCCGCTGGGCGTGAAGAAGGAGCCGGCGGCGAACAGCGACTTCGAGATGCTGCTCAAGAAGGAGGACTTTGATCTCAGCAACAGCGCCGCCGGCGGACTGCTCCACCATCCGCTGCAGCACGGCCAGCCGCACCCCATCCCGATGGGCATGCACACGCCCACCTCGTTCGACGGCAACAACAGCAACACCAGCTACCCGCAGGGGGCGGGGGGCGGGGCCGGAAGCGGAAGTGGGAGCCACACGCCGCACACCACCTCCCACCAGCCGGCGCCCACCACCACCACGCCGGTGAAGGTCGAGAAGCTGCTGCAGTCGCCGATCGCCCGCCTGGAGGCGAGGAAGAAGGAGCGCCGGAAACAGCGGCCCAACTCGCTGGAGTCCAGTGCCGAGAGCGAGGCCAGCGGCATGGACGTCGACCCCAGCAATCCTGGCCAGGTGGACGCCGTCTCCAGCACGGCCAACTTCAAGAGTCCGCTCAGCGCCTTGGGGATGGGGGACAGCAACGACGCGAACGCCAGCGGATGCGACAAGCAGGTAGGATACAGCAGGGTGGGGCTGTTGAAAGTGCGGGGGATATATCGGTTCAGTCATATTTAAAACTATAAAAATATATATAGATATAATAGCTTAATGATCAGATCAGAGATTCAATATAACCGATATATACACCTGATACTTTCAACAACCCTGCCGCCTTACGAGCGAAACGGGGCGAACTGGCAACCGCTGCGATTAACAGGACTACGGTCGTCGCCACCATCTTCCGCCACCCACACTGCCACCACCCACGAACACACCCGCCACCCACCACCACCCACACCACCACCACCACCACCAAAACCACAACCACAACCACAACCACTCCAACGACAACAACTCCTCTTCCTGCTCTCTCTTCCAGTCGAAAAAGAAGCGCAAGCGGTGCGGCGAGTGCGTAGGATGCCAACGCAAGGACAACTGCGGGGAGTGCGCCCCCTGCCGCAACGACAAGAGCCACCAGATCTGCAAGCAGCGCCGCTGCGAGAAGCTCACCGAGAAGAAGGTGAGTGCTCCATCCTCGGATCGTGTTCCCTGTTCCCGAATGGGAACGCGAGTACTCCATTCCCACAGCTCAGATTCAGATTCATTCACGGGCAGGGCAGAAGTTACTCAATGAAATTCGAGGGCACAGTGGGTCTATCGTATGCACACAGTAGGAGAAGATATTCCCAAGAATGATGATAGAACCAAGCATTTCAAGCATTAGTTTAGTATATGCCAAATGATAAAATATTACCTTGAATTCAGAAAAAGAAACTTTAACCTTAGTGAGTTGGTAATGTAACCTCAATCAGTGCCTTGAAATGTGACTTCAATTAGGGCCTTAGGTCAATATATTCCCCTTGAAAAGCATACAACCTTACCACGATTCTGCCGCTCTGCAACCACTGTGCCTAAACGGGCAGCTGGGAATCGGTGGGAACCGGTTTTGGTCCTCTGAAGAGCCGGCGGCCAAGTCGCAGCCACACGAAAATTTCGCATCCGAGATTCGCGGTCTTTCGCACCAGCGGTCAGTCACTCAGGATTTATGTCAGCGCAACAGATGTTCCTGGCCAAGTGCCTTCTCCCGTCTCGCTCTGCCCCGCGGCGGCCGTCTCTTTCTCTTTCTCCAGCTGCCTCGATTCAGACTCTGATTTAACTAGTAACCTACAATGAGCGGAGTGTGTGTGTGCCCAAGTGGCTGCGTGCGAGGTGCACTCGAGTCCCGAGTCCCGAGTACCCAGGCAGCATTCGAGCCCCCGAGTATCTGCGTATCTGGGCTGAGTGATCCGACAGTCGCGCATCCTCCAGATACTTTTGCAGCTTCCCAGCTCCTTTTCGAAATCACTTAAGATGCCGCAGCCGCAGGCCGAGCGTGTCCTTTGAGCGGTCGGAAATCGAGTTGCACATGTGTGCGAGAGGCACCCGAATGGCCGGGATCTCGGATTGCGCTTCATGTCGTCACTCGAAGTCGCAGGACTGGGGGATTCGAGGTGAAGTAGAGGTTCGGGAACAAGTTCAATGGCCCAAGGACCACTAAGGAGTTTCAAGTGATCTGTTTTCCAGGGATACGTGTGCATCTCAATTTTCCTTTGAGTGTCGGGGCGTTGGAGGGGGTGAAATATGATTTTCGATAGGCCACTTTAATTGATTGGTTTGTTTATCAAACCAAATCGAACCATTACAGAACACAAACCTCTTCTATAGAGCCTCCAACGATATGATATATACGAGTGTAAAAAGAATTCCCTTCTTGTGTCAGTTGTCCAAGGTCTTGTCCCAATTTCCCTCACCCTGTTGCCAAATCTCAAAGCCCCATCAAATAATCAGGGTGCTTGGAGTACGTCCAATATTGACAGACGCTTCCACATTGCGGGGCTATTTTCCCGGGGACTCGGAATACAAATACAGACGTCCAAGAAAAACAACAACAAGAGCAGCAACAAATGCCCAATATGCCATACCATACCATATATGCCATATATAAAATAAGAACAACAATAAAATAACGATAATAACGAAACGAGGCAACGAAAACAACAATAAAAGGAAAGGAAAGGAGCAGATGTTCACAAGTTACAAACGCGGCTTTTGATCGCACACACACAGATACCCACACAAACACAGATACAGATACAGATACAGACACAAAGGCAGGCACACACAGATACACGCAGACAGACAGAGATAAATAAATAAGCGAGTCCGCAGCGTTTTGTCTCTCAGTCGCGATCAGCGGACTGCAAACAGGAAACAAAAAAAAGAAGACCACATGAGAGCGTGCGAAAGGGAGGGCACATGCTGTGCAGAAAGAGACGGCGCGATCGGACAATTAAGGTTGACAGGAGCGAGGAGACCGACCGGGCGCTATACAAAAGGCCGTTAAACGAGAAAATGGCACGCAGAGATCTCAGCCTGAACCGCTCTATAGACCCTCCTCCTCCCCTCAATATTCCCTCCCCCCTGCCATTTCCCCCTCCCCCTCTGAAAAGCCATCTCCCTGCGACGACACACATAGATAAAGTTGTACATTTTGCAGTTTCAGCGAGGAAAGAGCAACAGTTGACATGTCAATATGGACAGGGTATCCACAAGATACGGAGATGCGCGGCGCGATAGTGCAACGCCAATTTGGTGCAGCTCCCCTCGCCCCTCCCCCTCCCCTTCCTCCTGCCCGGACAATTGACGCTTTAGTTTTATATCTTCCTTCGCTTTATCATCGCCATCCGCAACATCATTATCAGGGCCCCATTGTCCAACTGCCTCACATGTCGGCTGGGCTACTGGAACACTATGTCACTGGGTTGGGTATTCCAAAGTCGTATTCCTGCAGATCTGATGAGATCAAAATCAATTCTTTTCTTCGTATTAAGATTAAATTATTGTATTAGTCGATAGAGTATCTTGCTTGATATGATCCTTAATGCATAAATGAGTTGTAAACAAATTACGCCAAACATCAAACTAAATTATATCCAACTTTAAGTGCTCTGCCCAATTCATTTTCCTTGTAGCCCAGTGTAGGTTGAAATTACTTATGGGCTCATATATTTATGCCTTTGTCCATGGACTTTATAATGACAAGGCTTTCGCGGTTTTTTTTCTGCTTGGAAGTTCTCAGCTAAAACTCACAGCTGGTCCCTGTCTGCCCGACTTCTTCGGTCCGGTTTTATTCTTAATGGCGATAAATTTTGAACGTGAATTATTTCATTCTTGAGTTTCCCATCGAAGACAGATCAATGCACTTTGCCAGCTTTTTTCTTTCTCTCAAATAACTTTAAGACGAAGTCAAAGTCTGTCCCTTTCCGGCCAGCTTTCCCCCTTGGATTTTTTTCGTTTAATATTTTTGTAATTTCTTTTTTTGCTTTCCAAATCAGCTGAAAAGACCTTCGGGCTTAGTCATTAACTTGCCTATTTGAATTGCTCAGCGAACTCACTCCCACCGCAAATTTCCATCTGCCTCCCCGCTCAAAAAAAAAAAACCAAAAAAAAAAGAAGTGAAATCTCTGGACAAGCCGAACTAAGAGGATATTTCCTGTGTCGCTCAATTTGTCTGGGGTATTTTTTCTTCTTTAAATATGCAGTTTTTCTTAGGAATTTTCTCATTAAAATTTGAACATTTTTTCAACGTTTTTCCGCCTCCACAAATAAAAGAAAATCAACAACAAGACGAGGCAAATATTGAAAGTGTCTGGGTGAAGGCGAAGTTACCGAAAGCCAGAGGAATCAACCCCGAAAGTCCATTTGGAGTCGGAGTGCGGAGTTTGAGTGATTGACTTCATTGGGCTGTCCAAGGATGCTTGGATGCCACCTTGCCACTCCAAGAGCCGCTCGCTTTTCTTCTGGCTCTCATTTTCAATTCACGTTCCGCTCCAACTTCCAACTTCATTGAAGCAAATGCACTGGAGTCACTAAAAACCAACATGCAGCCATAACAACTTAAAGGTTTTCGCTTCATGCATACCAAATGCTCGGAAACATGCATATGCTCATTCGAAACACTCGCCGTATCCGTGTCCTTATCCTTAGTCCTTCTTTGGGGCAGGACGAGTGCATTGCTCCTACTTGAAACACACACACACGGAGCCACACTCCCCGTTCGTGACATACTCTCGGCACACACACACAATCAGATGGAGAGAGTGGGCGAAAAAGGAGGGCACTTTCCAAGGTGGCTCCTGCACTAAGAAAAAAACAAGAGACTGGATTTTCTGAACTTTCAGCATATTCGTTTTCTGAGCACTCATTCTTTGTTTATGAAATCTAGTTTGTTCAATTAGCTTTTCAATTTACGGTAATTAGCTACCAGTGAGGTCATAGATTTTCTCTCAGTGTCCAGTTTTTGGCACGTTGGCTTGGCAGCTCCTGGAAAACAGGATAATACTCGTGCACACACTCGCCGCTGGATACTTGAGCCACAGAGCTGCAACGCATGGTGGTGCCACCGAAGATGACGATGATGATAATGCCCTCGATGTGCTTCATTATGAACATGTTGTGCAATCTGATACTCGGTCGTGGTCGTGCTCCTTGGGTATCCAGTTGCACTTGGCATCCTCTTTCATCCTGTCCTGCCATCGCCTTCCCTGAATGTTGCTGCCCAGCTTTTTGCCGAAAAATGAAAGAATATGTCGGGCGAAAATGTTGCTGCCTTTCGGTTAATTGTCGCTTGTGGCCCGGCACACGACTGCCGCCCCTTCTTGGCCCAGAAATCTCTGTCAGTGATTCAATCATTCAATCTATAGGCAGCAATATGTGCGTTTGTCATCCGATAAGTTCCGAAAGATGCTGCCAGGCATGTCTCCCATGCGCTCCCCGAATTTCGGGCTTAGGCCGGGGTTTTTCAGTTTCAGTTCGAGTTCGAGTTCAATGCTCTGAACTCGGCCAACAGATAAAGTTTTCTTTTAGGTTTTAGCTCAGGTACACCGAAGAAAATCAGGGAGCAATCAACTCAGTGAAATTGTTAATCAAATAAAGGCAACGAATTATTTAGACACAAAATAATAGCTGCTGTTTGGAAATACTGAACTTCTGTTATACAACTCGTAGCTGTAATCATTTAAAAATGAAATCCTTTCTCTCTGCATCTGTAGCTCGTGTCCTGAGGCCGCCTGGCCACAAAATCCTGTTGAGAATTCCAAGCAGCTTCCGTTGTTTCATTTCCTTCTCGAAGCGTTGCATATTCATCTGTTGCAGGAAGCACTCACCATTATTCGTAGACCATCTGCAGAACTCGCTCGCCTGCACATCTGCTCGCATTGTGCTCTTTCGAATCGAAATAGGAATAGAAATAGGAATAGGAATAGCAATCGGAATCCTAAGCCAGAGTCCTGGGAGCAGAACTTAAGCCCCATGCCGGCTGAACACACATGCACGCACGTCCATTAAAACGGCATTGATGAATGATTTTTCCGTATATTATTTGATTTTAAGCCGCTTAGGCTTTGCGGGGATTTGTGTGTGCGTCTTTTAATTGCCAAAATTTAAATCATAACTTTGAAACCCATAATTTAACATTGCATTGTTTTCAGGCTCTTTTTTGCATTCGCCTTTTTTCCATTTTAATGGGTTCTCATTGGTGAGGCTGTTCGGCACGCAAATTGCCGCCATGACAGCCAATTAGTGGGCTTATTTTTTGATAGCTCGACATTCGGTCCATATACACTTTTGCTATGTGCCATGTACCATACACCATACATATATAGTAGGTTTTAATATTCGAGCTCTGAGTTTTTCCGTTGGCCGCCCTCCAACGTGCACAGATTTATTTAATTTGTAATTATTGCTAATTATTTTATGCATCACAGCTTATTTGTATTTACAGTTGATTTATTTTCATTTTCTATCTTTTTTTCTTGCAGGAACCCAAAGCCAAAACCGTACGTACACATTTTCATGTAATTATATTTCCCCTTGCAGGGACATTAAGTAATTATATTTGAACTATTTATATTATTTAATCCGCGAAATAATAGGGCTTCTTATCGTACGAGCGAAAAGTTTTTTACATCTTTGAAGGGCATGGGACAAATAATCTTTCATGGTTTGGTAATTAAAATAACCATTCTTTATCGCAATAACTTAATCTCTTTTGTGCAATGTGAGTTCTCAGTATTTTTATCGGGATGTTTGCCTTGCTAAATTTCTATAGTTTACCCTGCAGAGACAAATGTATCTTTTCATCTATGTACCGGTAGCTCTTTTGTGGTAGTTTCGGTGCTCTTTTTTACCAGCAGAATTTCGTTTCGTTCTGTTGTCTCCGCATAAATTAAATAATAAAATGCTTGACTCTGTCTGTGTGCGAGTGTTTGCCAGTCTGCGCAATTGAATGCTTTGTTGCTGTGTTTATGGAACAGATTTGCCGCTCATGTGGATGATGATGGGATGATGGGATGGTCGGGTTGATCTGGTGGTTCTGGTGGTTCTGGTTCTGGTGGTGGTTTGCCCGATGACAATCAGTCGAGTCACATGAATCTGCGCTGATCGTAAAGCGTTGTTAAATTTTAATAAATAAATGTTCACATCCTTGTTAAGTTGCCATCAGCGCGAACATTTGCATTGATTGCATTGCACTAGCACAAAAGCGGAATGAAGCGAGGAATGCAAATTAACGTTATGTAATTACGCACGGAAAGGAACACGCTGCGTATACTTGATAGCAATTTGCATAAGGACAAGGCTGAGAAAGAGGGACTTGCGAATATCCTTGTAATAGTTAAAGGACAAAAGTACCGCATTGCCTGGCTGGGTTTTTTTATTCACCTCTGCTCCTTCGTTAATGAGTGCAAAATCAGTTGCTTTATCGTCTCCTCTTAATGAGAGACACAAAACATCCATTCCGTAATGAGGTCCTTGGCTGGTGAAGCATTAAGCTGGATCCTTGGGGCTGGGCAGGTGCAATCCAGCAATTAAGCAATTTGTTGCCAGTTATTGTTTATTAATAAACAAACAACAAAGCGAGACGCCGAACTCCAGCGCTAATTGCCACAGCAACCGGCCGGGAAAAACAGGAAAATACAGTACAGAAAGAGTACAGAGAAAGCAGTCAGTTAGAGCCAAATAGATCAAGGATATGCCTGCACATGCGGAGTCCTAGAAGCGTGGAACCCACGAACCCACGAACCCTTTTTTCTATTTTTGAAGTGCATTCTACCCAGAGACGGCCCCCTCAGAACTTTTCACTGCCCGCTGGCTCAATTTAAATATCAGCGATGCATGGCCAAAAAGGGGTTAAACATGCACTGAAACAAAGAGTGTTATTCTAAAAATAGAAACACCAAAAACAGATAAAACATATTAGTAGTTAAAAACATCACGAAACAAAAGCGAAGTGGGAATGTTAAAGTTTTTTATTTTATTTGTTAAAGCACTCCCGTTTTTTTTGTCAGTGCACCACTGCTGTGCATGTGTATCTGTGTGCAAGGTGCAATTGCAGTGCATTTTTCAGCTTGACCGACTCGTCGTCGTCGCTGGCGGACCCTTTTCACGGCTTATTCCTAACTGCGCGACAAACTAAGCAAATTCGCACCCCAGCAGAGCAGAGCAGCGCTGGCAGGAAAATGTGGGGCGGAGTCGGAGTCGGAGGCGGAGGAAACGGTTGTCATTTAGTCCAGTTTCCGAGGGGTTAAATGCAGCCATAGGCAGACAGATACATACACACGCCTATTTGAACGAGAATACTTAACTGTAATGGCTTAGAGGGTCAGCAGGTTACAAAACTTACTAATTGCTGACGGCCTTTGGCACAGAATGTTGGAAAAGTCAACTAAATGGGGCACTAAACGAGGCCTCAAGTTGTTTGGAAGCGTGAGGGGGGTTTCCGATATAATTACATAATTACGCGAGTAATTAAAACAACGATTTATCGAATTTTAATTGCTGCATTATTGCCTGCCAAAGTACGGCGAGTCCTATAATTTATTGATAGGAAAAAAACAAGCATTCTGAGCATTGTTTTTTGAGCAAACCATATGTAACCGATTTTTTAAAACCCAATCTCTTTTTGTAGAATTTCAATATACAACATTTCCTGCGTAGCCTGCCAATTTTGCGTTTCCTGCTTTCCGCTGGTTCCCTTTTGGCCAAATCCGTTTAAGTCAAGTGAATCAAACAAAATCACAGAATGTATGAAACGTAAGGCCAAGCTCGTCGCCTTACAATTTCAATTTCCAAATGTTTCCCGGAGAAAGTTGTTGCTTGTTTTTCTTGCTTTCTGTTTTTTTGTTGTGCTTTGCTTACAAAGTGCCTATCAAGCTGTAAGAACAACAAAAAAAGCGAAATGATTGCATTTTGGCAACAAATGGGAAATGGAAAATTCTGGCATATTGTTACAACAAAAACAAGGAGCCAGGAACAAGGAGAGAAAGAGAGAGAAGCAGGGACGCACTTTCCAAATCGATTTTTGATTATTTTTGCTTATCATTCTGTTTGCTCCTTCCTCCTGTCGGATGCCTCCCCCGGAAAAACAACAAGGAACCGCCGTAAATTCAATTTAATTTTCCTTAAATATTATTTGAGACAATTTCGCCGGCATTACTCGCACAGCGAAAAAGTGGCACACCATTTTTTGCTCGCACTGTGCGGAGTTTATTTTATCATGTTTACTTTCAATAACTTTCATATATCCCCCGTTCCGCGCATAAACCTGGCAAACAGAGAACAAAAACAGAAAAAACAGAAAAAAGCTGAAAAACAGCACCGCGACGAGGAAACAAATTTCAGTTCGTTTGCTATTTATTTTATTTATAGCTGAGAGCCTTTTTTGCATTTGGCGGACTTTGTTTGTCGGCGCAAATTGAAAAATATAATTGAAACAATAAATTGTTATGTTGTCGAGGACTGAAAGAGTTGCCGGGGATTACGTGTATTTGTTCGCTCCCGCTCGACTTGTTGTCCTCCCGTGAAAGAGGACGAAACGAAAAAATCAATTTAATTTCAGGTTTTTTCCGACTCCTGCCAACAACTAAAAGTTGGTCTCAGTTCTCTGACCAAAGTCAAGTCATTTGCCAAAGTACGAAAGTCCTGTCGCGCATAAACATCCCCTAACGTGGGGGTGGTTTGCAGTCAAGACACCAAACGAGCGGAGGAAACGCAAAAGAAAGAATTAAAGAAATGTTTTTCAAACAACAAAAAAATAAAGTGAAAAACTCTACAGAATCAGCAGCGGCAACAACAATGAGCGGTACGTGCAACATGAATGCGCTGAAAAAATTTCACAGCACGTAGCTGCCAGTTTCAAAGACACCGACAGAAATGGGGGTAACTTTTATTTTTTGAGTAACGCATAAAGTTCTCTAACATCAATAGCACTTCCTGGAGGAATATACCACATATAATATAAAATAAAATATATAACATATAAAGTTCTCTAACATCAATAGCATTTCCTGAAGGAATATACCATATACATGGGATTATTTATTGGTATTTCACAACTCTTTCTATTTTATTAATTGCAACTATGAATTGTCCACCCGTTTTTTCACGTGCAGGACTAAAACTTGTGAGCAGGACTTTGCACTTAGCATTTCGCAGTGTGCGAATGTTCGTGTGATATCAAACAATTTAGCGCATTGCATTACAAGTTGTTGGCGCAAAAAAGTTGCGATGCAAGTTTTCTAATTGCAATGGCGCCCCCAAAGGATATGTGGAGTGCAGATAGGGGGTTAAAGCAGGGCTCAGCTGGGGTTACGTAGGGGTTAAAGGGGTGCGTCCACGGGGAGCTGGAGAACTGGGGAACTGCGGCCCGCACGCACTCATAAAGTGTTCTTGTTGCTGTTGCTCCTGGCACATCATCTGCTATGCAAACAAATACGCATAAATATGCACGCACACACCCACCCACGGTTTTGTGGAAAAAAAAATGGTGAAGAGAAAGGGGTGGAGGTGGAAAATAAGAGGCAGCTCGAGAAGAGGGAAAATAACAAACTCAACACGCACACAGCAGCTAGAACGAGCGGTACATGTGCAAATACGGGTGAACATACATCACCCCGCCCACTCCCCACTTTCCTTGGCGCTCCTTTCAGGCTTTCTCCTTACGCACATTGCGTACACAACAACAACAGCAACAGCAACTAAAAGAGGGCTGCAAGAAGAAAAAAAACAGAAACAAGAAGCGAAGAAAGAAACGCACTGCAATGGCTTCTTGGCTGAACTCCCTGAACTCCTTACCGTTGCCCACCTCTCCAAGGATCCAAGGATCACAGCCCCTTCGGCATTACAGTGAAAGAATTGCAGCGAAACTGGAGTGGCGTTTAGGGATATTCGTTCGCTGAAATCAGTGTAAAAGCCTTTCAGTTGAAGGACCTTTCCCTGGCCTCACCCTAAATATTTGTGTTCATACTTCAAATTAACCACTTCCAAGGTTCGAACTTCAAACGCAGATCAAAGCGTTGAAAAGCGGCTAATTTAGGCCTTCGTCCTTTGGCTCACTGAAGTGTCAGGAATCCGAATTGCACTTAATTGATATTCACTGTGGCACAGGCCGACGCACTTTTGCGCGTGAGGCACTCGCCATTTTCCCCAGCGCCTTCAAGTAGTTGGTATAAATATTTGCATTTCACAGGCCGCCCGCCGAGGAAACAGGGAAAACAGGGGAAAAGCAGGAGCAGAAGCAGAATCATTGCTTCGACTGCTCCGGCACCCCGAAAAGAAAGAAAAATCCGCCAGAGAAAAGAAAAATATAGAAAAATTACCATGGCCCCGCTCGGCATCTTGCCCCATCTGATAAACAGCCGATGTTTGCCATGTTTGAGATGCTGCGATGCATCTGCATCTGCTGTGCTACTTTGTCGCTGTTAATTATAAAAATTTTCCATTTTCCCTCGTTTTAGCTGGCAAGTGGAGGAAATTTTCTAAGCGAGCGCTCAAAAGCATG